ACAGTCCGTTTTCCGCTCATTTTTGCCCTCCCCAGCCCCCAGGAGTATTCTATAAGCCTCCTAATGCTCTTTTTTGACAAAAAAACTGGCCCATTTTTGTGAAAAACAGGCTGTTTTTTGCTCATTTTTGGCCTCCGCATCCCCCAGGAACACTCTGCAAGCCTCCTCAGGGCTATTTATGCTCTTTTTTGGAAAAAAAAAAACAAGCCCATTTTCACGAAAAACAGGCCGTTTTGGGGAGGCTTGCAGATTGTAATTTTTTTTTTTAATTTTCCTCTTCAAAACCATGGTGCGTCTTATGCTCCAGTGCATCTTATATTCTGAAAAATATGTATTTTTCAGAGTATAAGACACCTTTTTCCCTCAAAAAAGAGGGTGAAAATCTGGGTGGGTCTTATACACTGAATATAGCATTTTGGGCCTACCGAAACCCTGCCCCCGTTGTAAAATGGACTTTACGGAGGGTTTGGGAGGCTTGCAAAGTGCTCCTGGGGGCTGGGGAGGGCAAAAATGAGCGGAAAACGGACTGTTTTGCCACTCCAGCCCCAAGGAGCACTCTAAGAGCCTCCCAAAGCTCTGCATGCCCCCCTTTTTTTGCAAAAAACGGGCCGTTTTTGCTCGGTTTTGGCCCCAGAAGCTCTCTACAAGCCTCCCAAAGCTCTGCATGCCCCCCCTTTTTTTTGCAAAAAATGAGGCATGCAGAGGGTTTGGGAGGCCTGCAGAGTGCAAAAACTTTTTTAAAAAAATTTACATCTTCAAAATCATGGTGCGTCTGATACTCCGGTGCGTCTTATAGTCCGAAAAATATGGTATTTACAATCCTGGTTGTCGACTAACCACAACTTTGTCACCATAAATCTTAAGGACTTGACTTTAGACTGCTCGACTTGGAAAATGCCTTTTCCAGAGAAGTCTTATTTACAATTAATTGCTGTTTCACCCATCTTGTTGTTTGGATTTATAGAAGCATGTTTTCTCCTTAACACTACATGACTGCAAATCTGAAAGGGTATTTAAAACAAGCCAGGATGCAAAACCTGGCTTTATTCTGGCTCTCGAGCTGTTGTCTTCATCACACCTTTTAATTCCTTAGCCTTTTAGACAAACTTTCCCTAAGCTGGAAGTATGTTCAAATATCAACATGGCCAGTGTTTGGGAGCAATAACAATGACAATTACTTTATCTTCAGAAAAGAAGTTAGTATAATTATTAATATTTTTAGAAATGACATGCCCTAATTTAAATGTTTCCTTGTTTAAATCACCTAAAACCATTTGGATAGGTTCAAATCAGCAGTGAACTTTTGGAGTATACTGCCGCCTAGTGGCCATCTCTTTAAATAACAACTCTGTATTTTTGACAGGTAGTTCTTGACTTGTTTACAGCAGCACTGAAAAAAGTGACTAATGCCTGCTGGTGATCAAAATTTGAGTTCTTGGCAACTGGCATGCAATTATGACAGTTGCAGCATCCCAAGAATATATAAGCACCATTTGTAACTTTCCCAGTTGGCTACCAAGTAAAGTCAAAAGGGAAGCCAGCTGGAATTTAGAATGGTTGGGGCAAAAAAATGTGGGGGAAGAAAACACTTTATTCTTGTTTAGGCTGTGGGCAAAAGTGATACCATCAGTGGCTAAGTCAGGGCTGTTCAACTTTGACCACTTTTAAGACTTGTGAACTTCAACTCCCAGAATTCCCCAGCCAGCATGGCCAAGGTTGGACACCCTTGTTAACATCCAACTCAGACAAGGAAATATCCAGAAGCGCCCCAGGTGCATAGAGCTTCGGTCTGGGACTTTATTTATCTTCATGTGTGGGACCTGGGCTGGACCCCAAGATCGATCCCCCCCCACAAAAGTAGTGCTAAAGTGCAAAGTTCAATGACAGGAGTAGCCCCAAATTGCAAGGTTGAAAGTCCAGCAACAAGTTAATCAGTGCCAAGCAAATCCAGGACGCGCTTGGTCAGTCGGTCATAAGTGGACAGACCACTCGCAAAATTGCTAGAAACATTTGCAAACATCAGTCCTGTCACTTGGACACTCTGAACCACAGTTGTTAAATGAATCACTGCAGGTGTTAATTTAGTAACTAGTTGTAAAGTGAATCTGGCTTCCCCATTGACTGTGTCAGGACGCAAAAGGTGGTCACATGACTCTGGGATCATAAATTCATACCAGTTGCCAAGCGTCTGAATTTTGATCACGTGACCATGGGAGGCTGCAATGGCCATAAATGTGAAAAACGGTCATAAGTCACTTTTTTGCCGTTGTAACTTTGGTCATTAAATGAATGGTTCTAAGTTGAGGGCTACCACCTGCATGATTGCCTCTGACTACGCCTTGATTCCCTTGGGCAGAACATTAGCACAAATCAAATGGCACAAATAACATTCAAACCCAGAGTAAAAATTATTTTTATTTTTAGAGAAATCCCAGCGTACGTTTTCTTGCTTCAATGTTTGACAAGAACCACTAGATGGGTGTTTCTCAACTTTGGCCACTTTTAAGATGTGTGGACTTCAACTCCCAGAATTCCCCAGGACCACTGCATCTAAAAAGGATCATAATGATCCAAGAGCTTATGAAAAGGGAAGCTTGCCCTGACAGTTAAAACCTTTAGAAAGCCCAGCACTGGAGAGACAGTGGAGGTGCTGGGCAGTGTGAATGGCCCTAGGTACAAAACAGATTTCAGGCACAAGAGACCCAAGTCAAAAATAAGGACAAGAACAATACATTTTCTCCTTAAAACAATTGCAACATCCATCTTCAAATACATCCAACCTGCTTGATAGGCAGATGCGGTGTTCTACAGTCTTTTAATGTCTTCTTCCTCTTAGTGTAAAATCCAGCAGTTTCATCTTCTTGTCTTTTTAATTCCGAGTCATTGGATAGTGCTTAAATAAAGTTGAGGGGACAAATGCTAACAAGGCAGTTTCCAGACTGTCATGCAGTTTTGATCCCAGCAAGTCCAGGAAAGGCACTGGTCTACTTCACAATTTGCAGGTGGCCTGTGCAACTTTTGAACTGGTCTTCCGGTTCAGCATCTTGCAGATGAAAGTGCCTGCTTCAAGGACCTTTGATAGATCCACACCCTTGATAGGTAAAAAGAGGAGGGGGGGGGGAAGGCAGCTGTTTATTTTGCATCCACAAAGCTATAAAAGATAGTCCTCAACTTCCAACCACAACTGAACCCAAAAGTTCTGCTGCTAAGCAAGACGGTTAAGTGAATTTTGCCCCATTTTATGACCTTTCTTGCCACAGTTGTTAAGTGGATCGCTGCAGCTGTTAAGTGAATCTGGCTGGCTTCCCCATTCACTTTGTCAGAATGTCACAAAAGGTGAGATCACGTCACCCTGGGACACTGCAACCGTCATAAACATGAACCACTTGCCAAGTGTCCGAATTTTGATCATCGGACCACAAAGAGGCTGTAACAGTTGTAAGTGTGAGAAATGGTCATGTCACTTTTCCAGTGTCACTGTAACTTTGAATGGTCACTAAATGAACTGTTGTAAGTCAAGGACTATCTGTATAATATTCTGCCAATATTCTGTTTCATGTGGCTTAGAACTATTTGCAGAAACATCCAAAACACTCAAATGCAAAATCTTTTGAAGACAAAAGGCTGCCAGGCTAATATTTGCAAAACTTGGCAAGGAGTCTCAAGAATCATGAAACAATTAAGCAAACTAATTGTCTCCTGCAAATTTCACTCCCCTTTTGCTCTTCTTTTATTTCCTCTGGGAGGGGCCATTCATCGTCCACCTGTGGCCTTCCTTCCAAGTCGACCCCTGTTCTTTAGCTCTTCCCTTCATCTGGCA